GTCGTGACGGTGGCAAGCAACGTGGAGGAGAGAGAAAGCGCCTACATCAACACCACAAGCGAAGCTTCCGATTTGAGCCAAAGCTTGAATGAGCAGCGATTTTCGGCTTCTTATTCTTCAATTCTCAAGTGCTTTGCTTCATTTTCGGCAGTGAAATTCAGAGAATTAGGAGATGAGAGTGAAAGAGGAAGGGCGTGAGAAGGATAGAGTGGAGATAAGGAAAATGGAGGAAGAGGGTCGGCTGAGAAGAGAGAGAGAAAGAGAAAAGAGGAACAACGGTTGTTAACCCAAAAAAAAAAAATAGGGTTAGTTTGAGTTGGGAAGCTTGAGCCCCTTATATACCCTATTTTAAAAATTAATAAATAAACAATTACAACCGCTAAAACGGTCGCAATTCTCGCAAATAGCGATTGTTTAACTAACGGTCGCAAGCTGCGGCCGTTTTTGGTGGTCACAATTATTTTAATTTTATTTTGATTTATTTTTCACATATTTTTTTAAAAAATAAATTATTCAAATATCATTGCGACTGTTTAATAGGTAAAGAACGGTCGCAAACTTGCGACCACCTTAAAAATGGTCGCATTAAAACGGTCGCAAATTTGTCATTTTGCGGCCGTTTTAATGACGAGCGTAAAAAATCGGTCACAATTTGACAGAATTCTAGTAGTGAAAAAGGCTAGGCAAGAAAGAGAGAGAAAAAATAACCTTCTAGCTTAAAAGTGAAAAGAGAATAGAATTAGATAATTGTTGATGATCAAGATTGTTGATGCTTGAAAAAGGGGTGATATGACCTCTATTTATTAGGAAAAAAGAGGGTCGAAGGAATAGAAAAGAATTCGAATCGAAATAAAAACTCGACGGTCAGCAGTTTTTTGCGGATTTTGTTTTATCATAAATTTTTATATAAATGTCCAAATAAGACAAATAATATGTCGTTGGAAAGCTATCAAAGTCTAATTTCCAACAAAATTAGAATAAAATTAAAATATTTTGTAGAATAATAGATATGGCTAAAATAGTTAGACGGTGTCAGTTTTAAATAGAGTTTCGTATTTCTTTCATATCTTTTTCGTTATATATCGGAATTATTATTATAATATATCATTGGAAAAATAATTTCAAGATCTATCTAACCATAAAAGATTTGGATAAAAAATATGATTCATAAACATAATATTCGACTGTCTTTGAACGTCTTTCATTTCGAATAGAATTAGGGCTTAAAAAGGAAAGTTTTATCCAATTTCAAATTCTTTAATCTTATTTTTTCAAAAAAGGGTAATTAAGATTTTTTAGAAACTAATAAAAGCTTCTAATAAATCATAATTAGTTTAGGAATGGGATTAAACCTTTGGACTCTTCACATGATCATTGGGCCGTAGGTAAAATCCGATTTGAGTCCAGTTTAGTATTTTGGCCATAACTTCCTCGTTATTTATCGGAATTGGGCTTATAATATATCGTTGGAAAGGTCTTTTTGAACCCCATACAACTACACTGTTAGTGAACTCTAATTAGGACTAAACTAAAGTAGACATTTTCATAAATAGAGTAAGAAAAGAAATGTTTTCGAAAACAAAAAGAAGTATTTTATTAAAATGGCTTCAGTCCACGAGGCTCTTTCACATTTCACCTCGTTTGATAATCAATGAAGTGAACAATATTCATTAATGTGTTAGGTTTTTGGGAGACACAATCAGGTGTCCACAATTTTCAACCCAAAAAATACACTAACCAAATGCCCCCTAAATCAACCTGGGTTGATGTTGTAAGGTGCACTTTAGGGTCACGGGTTGGGTCAAAGAAAATATTGGATATGCCAGGGTTGAGTACTTGAGTTCATGGGTTACTGTTAGGTGGGTCGTAACCTTGCAGGTGGGTTAGGATAGGTTTGTGAGCTAAGTGGGTCATGGGTAGGTCGAGCTAGGTTGGATGGGTCAATGTGGGTTCATGAGATAACCTAGTGTTCCTATTATTATGAAACGAAAGGAATATAAGTTTATAAACTACTAAAAAAAATGTTCAATTTCCAAAGCTAAAAAATAAAAACTTATAAATACTCAAATTTTGGAAATACTTTGTTTTTTTTATTATTTTTTTGACACAAACCAAAGCGTAGCACTTATTAAATCATCAAGAGTTCAACATCATTACAAATCGTCCTATGAATATCCGAGGGACACTCCTCTAACCAAACACGATACTCATTAAAATTGCTACTTGACAAAGCTAAATTATGAGCAGCTTCATTCCCTAACCTCTTTACAAGGGGGAAATACTTTGTTTAAGAGAGGAGACAAGTAATGCTAAATATAAAAATTAACAACGCTATAGTTTGATGGTTGTATACTTGTATGAGTTTTATCTTGTATATATAATTAGTATAACATACAAGTGATACAACATACTGAACTATTGAAATATTATCTATATCCAAGTGCATCGTTCAAGTGATACAACATACACAACTATTGAAATATTTTATCCAAATCCAAATGCACCATTCAAGTAACCTAATGATTAAATGAAAATCAATCATCAAAATGTAAATAATATGTTAACGGGTGTACCGTGCACCCTGATGTATTTAACAATCACTCCAGAATTATACAAGTAGTATCATAAGTTTGTGATTTAATGTTAACTTTTGAAATAAATATTGTCTTTGTATTATTTAAGTCTTAGTTTTAAGATTTTTTTTTTTTTTTTTTTGTTCCAAATGCTTCACTCTTTTTTGCTAATCCGGATTCGAGGATCAGTTCTGGGTGGTTATGTTCCAGTCCCCTCATAATTGTTGTTGTGGGAGATCGAACACGGGTTCTCTCTACCAAGTGTAATCTCAATCACCACTACGCCACAATATCCAATTGGTAAGTTTTAAGAAATTATTTACTACTTCCTCTGTTTTCTTTTAGATGCAACACACACTTTTTCACAGTATTTAAGAACTGTGGGGTTCACATGATATAATACACTTTAAATGGGAAGAGTGGTTGTTATAAGTATAATTTAGTGGGTCATGTGCTTTAAATAAGGGAAATAGTATAGTGTTAAATTGTGACTCGAAATCTAGTAGGGCTGACTTTGAACAATTATATATCTCAAACTACAACTGATTTTGAGGTGATTCAAGTTGGAGGTGATAGCTTGGTTCAAGAGATTTCCAACGATAGGTCATATGCCCAATTCCGGTAAGAAACGAGAAAGTTATGACTGTTTTACAAAAACCTGACGAAGCTGGAAATTTGCAACGAGGCTGCGAGCTATAGCTCTATGCGAGTGAGCTATAGCTCGGCCCTATGAAGACTTGCGGCAGGTATGAGCTAGCTGCCGAGCTATAGCTCGGTAGTTAGGTTATTCTAGGATAATTTATGGAATATTTCCTAAAACTATATCTTTTCTATGACAGCTATTTGAGTATACTTGGGGAACAATCTTAGGGTTTTATTAGGGTTTCCTTGTGTTATATAAATGACCCTTTAGTTGATCAATTAGATCATACCTTTTTGAGCCATTAGATTTAGGACTCCTTGTATTATTCTCTTGTTTCTTTCTCCATTATAGTGAAGAAGCTCTCGAATCCTCCACCCGTGGATGTAGGTCTATTTTGACCGAACCATGTAAATCCTTGTGTTTTTTTTTGTTTATCTTCTTTATTGCTTTTCTCGTTCTTAATTTCATTGACTTGTTCCGCATTAATCAAACACAATTACACCCTAATTTCCTAACATATAGTTTTTCCCTAAAGTAACTTTCCTTTTATAATATGTTGCAAGTATTGTGACATTTCCTTTTTAGGAAAGTGTTACAAGTAAAAGAAAACGGAGGAAGCATTAATTCAGTTCAAACATAGGAGGGTGAAATCGACTCACGAGTTAAATGAGGTCTGGTCAATAAGTCAGCAACACTATGGGTGAATTGAATCATGAGTTGTTATTAAATTGGGCATATTAGGTATTTGTTGGGATGAACAAGTTTTGGGTTGTTAAAGAAGGAGCCAATAACAGCCAACAGGTCAGGTTCCCTTTAGGTTGGGTCTATAATGTGGAGAGTGCTATTCGGGATGTGTTAGGTTCGTTCAAATCTAAGATTATTGGATTTAATCAGTTTCAGTTGATTTGATCTAGTGTTATGAATCACCACTCACCAAGGTCCAAATAAATTAAACCTTTAATCCGCATTCGATGTCTAGATAAGTATATTAGCCTTTAATGGATTTACAGCTACACTAAGGTTCATGCCATTAAGCCATTTATATCAAGGAGAGTAGTTGGTGGGAGAATATATAAACCACTAAGATCAGCTAGCTGGAGTTGGAAGAACATCTGCAGAGCTAAAACAGGAACTAAAAGACTGCTTTATGTAGGTGCATTGGGCTAAAAATGGGCTAAAGTATAGCATGACTAGGGGAAATAAAGGGTTGCACAAAGGTTTTTCTAAAGTCTCGTGGTGTGCTTGGGTTGGAACAGATTTAAGTCATTTAACATTCCCAAGCACGTTCTTATTGCCTAATTGTTCCGGTTGTGTGGTTGAAAGAGCGGGGAGATAAGGACCATAAGGTGGATGCAGAAAGCTTCTGAAGTTGAGCTTCCTATTGACATTACCATCTCCATAAGGCCTCGCTCATCTCTAAATCCATCGATTGAGACAATGAGATCACAAGCACATTGATAGACTAGTCATGAATTTACCAAGTAATGAAGATTTTGAAACGGGGTTAAAAAAGGTAGACCCAAATTCATATTGGTACAGTCAAGGCAAATGAAGGATGAGTGTCTTGAGAACGATAATGTTCATACCCAAACTTGTTCCATACAACTCTACGAAACCCATATATCTAAAACAAATCTGTTTAGAGCAGAAATGAAACTTCAAAAATATATTAATACAAGTCTGTACAAAAAATAAATTGAACTGTGATTTCATTGCTGAAAATCAACCATATTATTGAGCCAATTAACTCAACCAAGGGAACATTTCTTAACAAAAACAACAGATTAGATCTAATAACATCAATATTTTTCAATTCCGGAACAATATCAAATTCAAACAGCAATAACTAAGATAAAGAATCAAAACACAATTAAAATTACAAATTAGCAAATATTTAATCCATATATTTCACATTAACCATCAAATCAAAGATTACATCGAAACTCAAAGTAGAAATCTAAAACCCTAAAACATAATAAAGTCTAACCACCAAACCCGTAGAGAGTACGGCCCTGCCTCTTAAGAGCATAGACAACATCCATAGCAGTAACAGTCTTACGACGAGCGTGCTCAGTGTAAGTAACAGCATCTCTAATCACATTCTCCAAAAATATCTTCAATACACCGCGAGTTTCCTCGTAAATAAGGCCGCTGATCCTCTTGACTCCTCCTCGCCTCGCCAAACGACGAATGGCGGGTTTAGTGATACCTTGGATGTTATCCCTCAAAACCTTCCTGTGCCTCTTTGCTCCTCCCTTTCCTAACCCCTTTCCTCCCTTCCCTCTTCCTGACATTTTCTTATGCTCACTTTCAAGATTCCGAATTCGGGTTTTTCAGTTTGAATTAGATTTCTGGTGGAGATTGATGTTTTGATTGTGGTGGGAAATTAGATTATAGGGGTGGGTTTATATAGGGAGGTTGTTGAAATAATTTGAAATTTTGGTTTTGGGGGGAATTGTGAATTTTGTTTAGAATGAATTAAACCCATTGGATCGGGATGAATCTGACGGTAGATGAGATCGATCCGTGTGAATAGTTTTGCAAAGTTTAAGACCGTAGATGATTTTAATCTAATGGTTTGTCTATGTTTTAATTTTTAAATTTTCTATATTCGGATCTAATGTTTGTCCTGCTGGCTGCTGCTGAGTTTTACTCAAGTTTTACCTAGGTTATTTTATTTTATTTTTGACAGTATTTTATACTTGTAACAAAACTAAAATTAAAAAGATATACTATCATACATGTTTCAAAAAAAAAAAAAGATATATCATACAATATATTTTGTACAATCGTACGGTATAATTTAATTGTCACTAAGGGCATGTTCGTATTGACTGAAATGAGTTGAATTGAACTGAATATTTTATGAGAGAAGAAAATTAGGAGTTGAACTGAACTGAATATTTTATGAGAGAAAGAAATTAGGAGTTGAACTGAACTGAAAACAATTTGATAAAAACATAGGGCCTAAACTATATTGATACACAAATAAATGCCTTGTCAATTGCCACTAAACTATTTGATATTTCTTCTTTTTTTTTGGCAAATAAAATTAATAACATAGTGAAAAAAGAATGTAAAAAGTTCCTCAAAAAAATAAAAAAATAAAAATAATAATAATAATGTAAAAAGGAAAAAAAATTATTTTTTATTAAATGGGCGATGTAAAAGATAAATTTTATTTAAGCAACAATTGAATTTAATAGAATTATGTATTGCCTAAGCTAAAATAAGTTAATAATGCCTCTGTTCTTTTTTACTTGACCTGTTTTTTTTATCACGCTTGTCAATGCAAAACTTTAGCGATCAATAACTTTAATTCTTTACAAGTAAAAATTATAAAAGTTGTATATTACGATAGTACTTATTGAGACGAATTAAAAAAGATATCATATGAATATATTTTTCTTTACATATCATTCACAAAAGATGGTTAAAAGAGAGGTGGTGAATAGTGTAAAAGTCAAAACAGATCAAGTAAAAAAGAACGGAGGAAGTACAAGTTACTGTTAGTGATTATAAAGTAGTTAAGGAGTGTTTTTTTTTTATTTTTATTTTTTATATAAACTAGTTAAGGAGGTTTTTTTTTTTTTTTTTTTTTTGAAGATAGTTAAGGAGTTTTTTTATCTGCCATTTATTTTATTTTTCATATTATTTTTAAAATCATTTTTTTTTTAATGCAAATCCATATTGATTCAGTCTATATTTCGGATTGGTAAAGTCATATTGTAGCAAAATCAATCCGATTTTCGAATCTTTAATTCCAAATCCTCATTCTTCAAACCGATCCAATTCAATTTAATGTAGCATTCTAGGCTTCTAGCTAGTAGTCTTTGGAACAGTGAACAACCCTCGCTTAGGCGGTTCGGCCTCAATTACCTCTACTCTTCTTCAATTTAACAATTTTATTTCCCATCATTGAACCTCTCCCGTAAACAACAACCAACTCTCACTCGACTTGCCAACTAAATGCTTTTCAACCCTCAAACTCTCATCTCTCTCCTCAAATCCCACTGCATCTCCCTTTCCACCACCATCTCCTCCGCTTCCTCCACCTTCCTCAACCACCAACAATGGCGGAACATCACCAAAGTTCGCCTAAAATGGGTCAAGAACAAAACCATCGACCATATTATCGACAGAGAAACCGATCTCAAAGCTGCCATGCTTCTCAAAGACGCCATTAAACGCTCTCCAACTTCCTTCATCACTGCTCGAACAGTCGCCGATTGGCAGAAGCTTCTAGGTCTTACTGTCCCTGTTCTTCGATTTCTTCGAAGGTATCCTACTCTTTTTCACGAATTTCCTCATTCTCGTTACCCTAATTTGCCCTGCTTTAAGCTTACTGATTTTGCTGTTACATTTGATCAACAAGAACACTTAGTTTATGAAAATGATGAATTGGGTATTGTTGAAAGGCTTTGTAAATTGCTTATGATGACAAAATCTAAGGGGGCGCCATTGCAATCGATTTATCCTTTGAAATGGGATTTAGGGTTACCGGATAATTTTGAGAAATTGATTGTTTCGAAGTATCCGAATCATTTTAGGGTTTTGAAGGGGAATAATGGGTTACCCTATTTGAGTCTTGTGGAATGGAGGGAAGAATTTGCTGTTTCTGCCTTGGAAAAGAGTGGTGAGAAGAGGATTGAATTAGGGAATGATTATAGGGAGTTTAAGAAGGGGCAAACCGCTTTAGCATTCGCAATGAGCTTTCCAAAGGGGTATGGGTATCAAAAGAAGGTTAAGGCTTGGATGGAGGAGTTTCAGAAGTTGCCATATGTATCGCCTTATGAGGATTCTACGAGGCTCGATCCTACGAGCGAGCTTATGGAGAAACGGATTGTTGGGTTGTTGCATGAGTTTTTGAGCATGACTATTCATAAGAAGACTAAGAGGAATTATTTGAGAAGTTTGAGAGAGGAATTGAATCTTCCTCATAGGTTTACTCGGATTTTTACTAGGTATCCGGGGATTTTCTATCTGTCTTTGAAGTGTAAGACAACAACTGTTACTCTGAAAGAAGGGTATCGAAAGGGTAGATTACTTAGTCCTCATCCACTGGTCCGTATTAGGGATAAGTTTTACCATGTGATGAGAACGGGGCTACTTCATCGTGGTAAGGGTGTGAACTTTTTGTCGCCACAGGACTGCTTGCTGGATAATGCTGGAGATGGAAATGGAGAAGAATCAGAAGACTGTGAAAATATGGAGGGGGAGGAGCATGAGATGGAAGAAGAATGTTGGGATGAGGAAACATCAAGTTTGGAGGAAGAATCTGATGAGTAGCTGCAAGCATTAGTTTTTGCTACTTATGTTATCATACATTTAGGACTCACGAGTTAGAAAACCGGTAATGAAGAAATGTGAGACGTATTATACGTCAACTTATCATCTTTTGGTTCGTTAAGCTTGCAGTTGTCCGGGGAGTTTTATTTACTAGCTTCATCACTACAGAAATGTTCACCATCTCTACCTATTTTCTATTGCAGTCTGTAGGATACACCGATACACTAATGTTCTTCTGCTTGGTGGCTAGAAGATGTGTACCCTGCTTGTGTGCTTGGTCACGTTTTATAAAGTAGATTCATCCTGCTTCAGACTGCCTGATACTGACCCATTTTCTGATCAATGTTTGTACTCCAAAATGAGACATTTTTAGATTTGTGGTTAATCAATATTACAATCTCCGACTCTGAGGAATAAACTGAGCACAGAAGTTCTATTTTTATGCACTTCTTTATTTATTGTTGAGCAGCAGTGCATATCTCTTATTGCGTTCACATCAGACCCCTCTATCTGCTGAAGGACATTTAAGCAGAGGCATTGGGCAATAATTTTAGCTCTTCAAACTGCTGTATCCATAAAACAATACTCCGTAGTCCAATTTGGCTTACTCCTATGTATTAATGAGTATTCTATAGTGTTTTTTTGTTTTTTTTTTTTTTTTGGTTGTAAAAGCATGGTTTTACTATGCCATTTACAGATTTACTACTTAGTTTTCAGGATACCTATGTGGCCATGTAAGAATTGCACTGCAATCTGAAGGTTAATGTTATCCTTTACTGCCTATTGTAACACACTTGAAGTAGGGAGATGAACCCAGGATACTAGTGTAATACAAGTATTAGACAAATTATAGGCATGTGATAATTGACATTAACCATGCAGTTTTATGGTAATTTCTTGCTGGACCAGTAAAGCTTTATGAACTACTATTATCTTTTTGTTAACTCATTATAATTATGTTGTTCATCATGTATAAGTAATGAACAGTGGTTAGAGTGAAGTGAATGAGCAATAGTTCCACCGTATGTAGATTAGTTTATCATTTTAATTGATACATATGTTAGTTTATCATTTTAATTGATACATATGTGAAGGTAAAACTTTGACCATATATATATGTAATTCTATACTTTATATTAGTTTAACTTGTAAAAATTTTATGAAGACGAATCTAACAAAAGTTAACATACATAGTATTAACATTTGTTTTTTTTTTTTTTAAGAATACATTTGACTTTTATGTATTAATATAAAAATCGAGTTAAATTGCACTAAAATTTGTTATCTTAAAGACATGTCATTATTTTCCTTTTTCAAATTTGTTTTGGGGATTCTCTTGCTTTCTCTTTAAGAATATTTATTTTCTTCCAACTTTCATGCCCCTCAAATATAAATTTCTGTTTTAAAAAAATACATGTAGCCTCTAAGGCATAGAAGTATGATTTATTGATTTGATATAGTGAAAAAGTTAATAAAAGCAAATGAAAAAGTTCGCTAAAATTGCAAACAAAGAACACCATAATGGCTTTTGTTCTTCGCATTAATAAGTTATAAAAAGTTGACTATACTCTTCTCTATGAGAAATTGAGAATCATGGTGAAGTAGTAGCTAAAAAATTTAAAAAATAAATAAATAAAAAAATTATCTACATTGCCTCAAGCACATCCCTTTTCTAAAAACGTGTATAAAACTATAAATAGCAAAGATACAAAACTTTAATGACCCCAATAGCAAAAATGACTACCTAAAGGCTAGCAACAAAATTGACCACCATAGCAAAGATGCAAAACTTTAATGTAACAATATAGGTGTTATATGCACTATTCAAATGACTACTTAAATTTAGAAAATCCAGGGTAAGGCTAATTAGAGAGCGCTATTCTAAATGATTACCTAGAGGCTAGCAACAAAATTGACCACCATAGCAAAGATGCAAAACTTTAATGTACCGATATAGATGTTATATGCACCATTCAAATGACTACCTAAATTTCGATATTCAGGGTAAGGCTAATTAGAGAGCGCTATTCTAATTGCGGATGGCAAAGCATCAACTGAAGGCACAATTTTTTTGTAAAAAAAATCAATCTATTAGAGTAAATCTAATAGATATGCCTAAGAGTTTTCAACTTCGCTAACTCTAAATTGTAATGATACAAAATCGAGTAAAAGATGGCAACTCTTTCCTAATATTCATCCCAACCAATAGGCTGATGCCCAGTACGAAGAAAGTTTACGAAAAATTTCATTTACATAAATTACTACCTTCTTCACAAACACTAACCCCTTAAACACTGAAATCCATCTATATATATACATATATCCCGAATCTTCAATGTACTCCCTTGCCACTTATCCCTCACATTATAATGTTCATGGGGAGTGATCATTTTGCAGAAAAACGTCAGCCAAAGCTACTTCTGCAGAAAAACGTTGAGAATTTATTTCCTGCTAGAATTTATACAATAGTGTAGTAGTAATTTTTCATACTGAAACTAACAAGAAAAGAAAAAAGAGGGTCACGAAGCTGAAGTAAATAGTGCCCAATTGAGAACCAACGGCAAAAAAGCAGTACTTTCCTCATATTTTCACCTCCCCAATATATCCAACCCCAAGAGAGCCCTAGCAAGAACATTACAAGAAATGGAAGGAAAGCCCTAAGCTTGATGGCATAAACCAGCAATAGCCTAAGATGTTAGTGTATAACAATCCCTAGTGAATATCACACATCTAACTCTGACAGACTAAATATGGGGTTCTACAAACCCGCGTTGCTTGACGCCCCAAGCCTATAAAAATTTCAATTCCAGCACTTTGAGCGAACACAAGAACAAATTACCACAAAATCATGCGTATATACCAGGAGGTGAGAGAATTCAACATTGATACAGCTAGCAAGGTTAATCCCAGGCACTAGATGCACCAGGATTATAGCCACCTCCACCACCGCCGCCACCGCCATAGTGACTCCCGCCACTGTTGCTCCCACCATAGTAATCAGAGCCTCCACCACCTCTGTTGAAGCCGCCACCATCCCTCCTAAAGTCACGACCTCCAAAGCGACCACCCCCAGCTCGCCTGTTTCTGCCTCCACCATAGGATGCACGTGATGCATAACGAACCAACCAATCAGGAACTTCCTGGTTTGCTTCTTGCATCAGCTCAGCAAGCGGTCTAGCTAGCGACTGATTATTTTCATTGAAAAAAGCTGTAGCCAATCCACTTTTCCCAGCTCGTCCTGTTCGTCCAATCCGATGGACGTAATCATCGATGTCATTTGGGAGATCAAAGTTGATCACATGTGCAACATGAGGAATATCAAGACCTCGAGCAGCCACATCAGTTGCGACCAGAATAGGAGTATTTCCACTTTTAAATGACCTTAATGCAAGTTCTCTTTCCTGAAAAGAAACAGAGGATAAAATCCTTGTTAACAAATTGGACAGGACAACTCATGGCACTGAAAAACGTTTAAACAAAAGCACTAAATAAAAGACTCAAGAGACAGTTATCAAAGGACCATCTGGCAGGAATTAGACAAAATAAAAGCATTATCTAGTCCCCAAAGCTCGGTTCTTATCAATTTACAAAGCATTTTCTTTCAAAAACCAAGCAAAAATCATTTCCCACAAGGGAGACTCCAAAGAGGAAAATTGTCTTGGTCACAAAATATGACTTCCCACCAATGTACTTCTCAAGCCATTTTAATGTCACATGAGAATAAAACATAAGACGTCCTTGTAAAAATTAAAACATAAAATACTAAGCACTTTAGAAAGTTGCTATGAAGTTCTTTTATACAATATGTTTGACGTTCACTAGTACTTGTAAGTATCTAATCTCGCCAATAAGAAAACGCTCAGATCTTAAAGCATCCCTGATCAAAGTCCCTTATGAAGGAAAAGCCATAGTCAAACAAGCAAAATGCAGCATAAAATATCAACTCAAAGCTAAATAACACCCCATAGAAGGCAGATATATCAATATCTTTAACATACTTCAGAACAACAGTATACAGAAAGTATATTATATAAGGACAAGCCAACTGGAAATAATATCCGTAGCTGACGTCAAACTTTAAATCACTCACCTGCTGTGTTCGATCACCATGGATACTAGTTGCTGGGAAGCCATTAATACCCAACCAATGCTCCAATGCATCAGCACCTTTCTTAGTCTCCACAAAAACAAGGGTCAATGCTTGCTGCATTAACAAGAAAAAAACATGTATTATTCAAAAAACCAATAGAAAAATTGAACATCTAATGTAGTTACTAGTAAATATATGCACCTATCACTAAAAGTGTCACCAGATATGGGCACAAAGATATTTAAAATCAAAAAACAAACCTTCCCCTGTACTCCATTAGCTCTCTGTGCGTGAATAAGATCCATCAAATGGCTCCTCTTATCAGACTCATGCACAAACTCAACCCTCTGAACAATCAAATCAGTACTTGACCCCACCCTTCCAACAGCCAGGAAAATGTAATTAGACAGAAAGTCAGATGCCAGCCTCTGCATATTGAAGAAATTTAGCAAAGAATATGAGTAATGTGAGAGCAAACAAAACAAATGCCTGCAGATTAAAATGAAATGGAAAGATTGCTGTGAGTCTGTGACAAGGTAGGTTCCTATCATTTCCGAAGTAAGACAACCATATAAGATCAAAGAGAAAAAGACGTAATACAACGTTGACGAGACAATGATTCATCTTTGGGTTGAAACAAAAATATCAATCTTCACTTGTACAACCCACTCCCCTCCATGAAGTTATTGACCGTAATTGAAACCATTTTTTAATTGTATTAAACATGATGCAACATCTTTAGTGAAGGAACCCTAAAAGAAGAGTACAACTCCCTCGGATCCCAAATGTTCTTCCCATTTTGATTGTGCACGTTTCCAATGCATTACTTTGATCATAAAAATAAGACCCAACAAGACTATTTTATGTTTTACATATTGAGAGTAATATAGAAGATTCTCTCGTCTTATGAATAGTGCTATAATTCTAAATGAGATGAACAAAAAGAATTCATTAAGTTTTTGAAATTAAGAAACAGGGAGTCGCATCTCACATGGCACTCTTATCACTACCTAACAAAATGTTTAGCATTATTATCCAACAAGATACTTAGAATGAAAACTTTGAGGCGGAGAGGATCTTAAATAACATTCAAAATTCAGAAGAACTAGGCAGAAAGGCCCATATATGTTTCAATGTGAATTTTTACAGTTTTTGTAGGGGCCTGATATGCTCCCATATTACATGACAAAGGAAGAAGCTCAGTGAACTAGCAACAGCAACTAAACAAACACCATAATAACTTTCTTATAGAAAGGTTTGAGAGGGGGAGTTCCAAGAATGGTAAAAGAGAACTTCACCTGTATTTCCTTTGGGAAAGTTGCACTGAACAGCATAGTCTGTCTAACACCTCGGGGTGGCATATCTGTCTGTTCAACTATCTTTCTAATTTGGGGCTCAAATCCCATATCGAGCATTCTATCAGCCTCATCAAGTGCCAGGTATTTAATCATTTCAAGTGACACTCTAGCCCTCTCTAGTAAATCTACCAGTCTTCCAGGGGTAGCAACAAGAATATCAACTCCTCTTTCAAGCTCTCGCAACTGTAAAGAACCACAGCACCCGTTAAAAAAAAGAGGTCCTGTATAAAAATTGTAAAAGCATTTAACACAAAAAATACACACTATAAACTATTATAAAGAAAACCAAGGCTAGCCAACTGACAAAGTCACAAGGAGGATAACATTGCTTGAATGGATAACATCGCTTGATATTCAAGCCTTCAAGATGTCAGATGATATATTTTTAAGAATAAAAGACTGACTGAATTTAATTGCAAAGATGAGAAAGTAGAAACTCAGACAGTGTTGCCTACTTCGCTAACTGGCTAATCCCCACCCCACCCCCGCAAATACAACCCAAAGCATACAAATTGAAGACTTTAAGGCTAATTTTACAAGAGGTAGCTAATTCTGATGCTGAACCGGTTCCATATATATATGTATAGTAGCATACTTCGAATTGGACTGGGCTAAAATTTCCCTGTTCTGCTACATATGTTAAATTTTATAATAAACCAATGAAAACTACATTGGCTCCAGTCCACTGCACTACTTTCATGAGAAAAATCAGCTGATCATGAGCTTGAAGCTTAATTGACATCCCTCCAGTGGAATTATTGATTCTCTTAACTTACAACAAGAACCCACAAAGCACGGCCCAACAATCACCCAAATTATGCAAGGCTAGGTTGGTTTAGATAGAGCAGAATTCAAATAATACAGTACATCAATTTGCAGCAGATTATTCACTGTGCTGCTACACACGCAATGAGACAATAATTCATGAAGCAAAACCCACTAATCAACGAAAGTTCCTTAAGGTAGGTTGTTGAATGGTATTACTCGAACAATTCACTACCACAGTCAATAGAAATCTACTAAGCACCAAAGGCCCTGTTCACTTCACCTTTAAAAAATAATATTAAGTAAAAATAATTTCAATTCAGTAAAATTAATAATCAATATAAATAATTTCACTTCAATAAAATTCAGTATTTATAAAGAAGAAATATACTCCCTCTTATTTTTTTTGTATGCATCAATTTAAACGGCACATTTACCAAGACGTTACTTTGACCATTAATATCTTTAATTGTGTATGAGTAAAAATTGTAACAAAATTATATTATGAAACTAGACATTATGACAAATCTAATGATATATTATATAATAACATTTATTTAATTTTTAGAGGTGAAAAAATTAAGTCAACTATGGTATGTGAATAGTACAATTGTCAAAGTGATGCATTTAAAAAAAAAAACGGAGGGTGTAATAGAAAATCGGCAAAATTAATTTCAGTTCAGTAAAATTAATTTCAATTCAGTAAAAATAATTTAACTTTAGCAAAAATAATTTCAGTTAACTAAAAATAATTTCACTTCAGCAAAAATAGGTGAAGTGAACGGGGCCTAACTATTTATATAGCTGGGCACATAATGTGACAATAATAACAAGAACCAACGCATCAATTGATGGGTCTAATAGAGATTCTTTCATCATGATAAACCTATCAGCTTAGAACCGAATAAGGCCAACTCAAACAGAAACAACCCGAATCCAACCTAAACGACCAGATTTCCACATTAATAGTATTAAGACCACACTAACTAGTAACCTAAATCCACACTAAAGCAGATGGTCACGATTTTATAAATATAGTAAAAAAAAAAAAAAAAAAAAAAGGGAAAAATAAGATTCTACTCGGTCAAGAGAACATCAAATCCTATAATCTTCGGACATTAATAGTCATTTTTCTAAAAAAAAATGCCAGCACATAGATTTTCTAGCTAGGTAGCATGTGTGAGAGCTGCAAGTTGTGTCAATTAAGTACATAATTAGCAATAGGAAACATGAGAAACTTCATCATAAATTTTAGAACTAAAAACTGTACAATGTCAATTTATGAAACAAAATTTTCTGCTATAAATGTTCTAAGGACTTTTGAGCCAGGCAGGGGCGGGCGGGGTGGGGGAATGTCAGTAAAATTTCCTGAGACCTTTGCCAACAAATTGACCCCACCACCCCCTTCAATCCAACTCAAAAAATAAGTAAAAGTGATATCATGTGAACAGGTAAGTACAGAACTACAGATTCAATTACACAACTACAAGCTATTTCACATTATTGCAACTCATCGTTAGCAGATTAGCCCCACATCCAACTTTTAATGAATTCAAAGCAAAATCATATATGAGTGAAGATGCCATATATACCATCCAAGGTATCTCAAAATCGTACTTCCTCAGTCCCAAAATATATCTGTATTCCATTTTGGGTGTTCCAAAATGTTGTACAAGTTCGCTAACTTTTATTTTTGTTGCACATAATTTACCATAATACACCAACTTCTTTATCTTTCCCATACATAATTGTGCCATAATTCACTTTTCTACCTTTTACATATATAAACTACTCCTATATCCAAAACTTCATTAAATGTATTTATTTATATTTTTTATTATTTATTCCATATAAAATACCTCTAAAATTAAAATATTAACCTCTCCACTACCCTTGATTCTCATGGGAAAAAAAAAGGAAAAGAAACAAGCCCTAATATAGTATTATTACAATGAACTAAGTATTGATGCTAATAACAAGGAATCAACATTAGTAAAGATGCTACAAAGTCCATATCTTCAGAAATAAGCCATGGTCATGAAGGGTGAGAAAGAAAGAAGTGGAAATTGTTATAAGAAGAGTACAAAAAATATAGAGAAACAAAAAACCTGTTGGCTGATTGGTGCTCCTCCATATGCTACCACCACCCTGACACCAGTTTGGTATGCAAATTTCTTAGCTTCCTCATTTATCTACAATAATCCATTAACCACAACAAATTCAGAGAATAACTATGCATTGAAAAATAAGCCAATAGCACCTAATAATAAAGCCTTAGGAATCAAGTTAAAGATAATCGACCAGAACCAAAGTCTTACCTGCACTGACAACTCCCTAGTTGGAGATAGAATAAGAGCAAGTGGAAAGACAGTACGAAATCCACGAGGTTTCGGAGCTGTCTGCTGACTCTTCATTATACCACTAATGATAGGAAAGCAGAAAGCTGCAGTTTTTCCCGAACCAGTCTGAGCACATGCCATCAAATCCCGTCCAGCAAGGGAAATTGGAATAGCATGGCGTTGAACCGGGGTAGGCTTAATATATTTGCATCTTCTAATGTTTGCATTAAGCTCATTTCCAAGGTCTATGTCTGCAAATGTATTTACAGGGGGTGGCACATTATCCCCACTAGTTTCCACAGGGATATCCTCATAAGCATCAAAGTTGATGCCGGTATTCTCCGGCTCACCAAACACCTGCTCCGGTTCATCGTCAACATCATTAGCAAAAGGATTAACTTCGCGCTCCCTACGGTCCCAACCTCCACCCCGGTTATTCCATCCAGCTCCACCTCCTCGACCACCACCATAACCACCTCCTCCACCGCCACCGCCTCCACGAACAAAGTCGGGTCTCCCACCTGCCCAACGTCCACCAGGCGGCCCAGCTAAGACAGGCCTATCATTAACCTGAGGTGGTGCAGCTTGTGGCGGGGCAGCAGACGAGTCTGCCGATGGCGGCCTGTTACGAAGATGTGGCGGTACATAGGTAGCCTTCGTCGGCCTAGCAGTACCACCGGTACCTCCATTTTCATTCTCGGCTGCCGCCACGGAATCCGCCCATGAAGTTCTCATCATACAAATTGACTTTCAATACCAAGATAAACCTATCAGCAATCCCCAAAACAATCAATACCAACCATTACAATTAGAAAAAACAAAAAAAAAAATCAAATTCGCCGCTCTGAAACCCTAATAAATATAAATTACGCAATTAACAGCCAAAAAAACCTAAATTTACAACAAAAATCAATGACGAAAAACAAAAAATAGCACAAACAATCCAAAATCAATAAAAGCACAAACAAATTAAAAACACATGCAGTACAACCTCATCTGGGTAACAACAATACACGACGAAAATCAACAAAAACAAAATCAAACCAATAACGAAGCAGAAAATGCAGTTGAATCCGGAAACAGTAGAGTCAAATCGAAGCTAAAAGGAAGAAGAGGAGGAGGAAAAGACGAACCTTAAAAAGGAGGAAAACGAAGAAACCCTAATTTGTATTTTTGAAAGAATAGATCAGAAAAAAGGCGAAAATATCTGAAAACGAAGATATAGATAGATCTGTGAGAATGATTGTGTATGTGAGGAATTCTCTCTCTAAAAATCTTAAAATGAAAAGGTTTGGGTTTCTCTCTCTAAAGTGATGAGGAAGAAAAAAAAAGGGAAAACAGTGCGGGTGGGTGTCCTAATTATAAGGTGAACGGCGGACTCTCTCATCGCCCTTTCTCTCTCTTTCTCAGCCCAGGGTGAACTTTTTGATGGGGTGTCGTTTTTTCAGCTCCTCCTCTTTTCCCAAAAAAAAAAATATAAAAAAAATAATGAAATTGAATTATAAATTTGTAAATAAAAGTTGAATGTTTTTTTAAAGGTGTTAATAAACATGGGCACGGGCCGTGCCGGCACGGGCCCGACCCGGCACGGCGGCCCACCTGTGGGCCGTGGGCCGTGCCGTGAACAAGTTTTTGGATTTTGACACGGGCACGTCACGTGGCACGGCGGGCGGCACGGTGGCCGGCACGCTGGCACGACCCACTGGCACGGGACGGCACGGCCCGGCACGACCCGTGCCAAATGACCGTTGGAAAACTAGTCGTTTATGGCCGTTTCCCAACAGCTATAAACGGCTAGTTTTCCACCCCATTTTCCACCCAAATTCCCTATAAATACCTCATATTTTCCTCCAAAATTTTCACAATTCATCAACTCATCTCTTCTCTTTTATTCTCTAATTTTCTTACTCCCAAATTCTCAATTCTTAAATTCCTACAAATCATACAATCTTGCTCTCTTTTGTGAAAAGAAAAAAAAAATTCCTACTCTCTTATAAATTTTACATTTTTACTATTATTACTTTTATTAGTCTACTACCAAAAAAAAATTGTTATATTTACATTCGGGAAATTATAAATTCGGGAAATTATAAGTTCGGGAAATTATAAATTTGGGAAAGCATTGAAGCGTCATTGTAATATCTAACTCAACTATATTTTAAATTGTTATTGTTATTGTTATTGTTATTGTTAGTTGTTAATCTTGTTATTATTATTATTATTATTATTATTATTATTATTATTGTATTCCTGGAACTACTTAATTATATAAAAACTACTTTCTATTTTAATTGTGGGTTATTTGGATTGTTGAAATCTGTCTAAGGCGGGACTTGGGCTCTGAACAACATCGCTCCTAACCTCTCCTACCTGGGATCTCATTGATCCAAGTAATCTACTATTATTATAATTATTTTTAAAAATTTAATTTATATAAAAACTACTTACTAATTCTTATTGTTATTGTTATTATTATTGTTGTTAATTGTTATTATTATTATTGGTACTTTGTTATTGTTATTTGTATTATTGTTATTGTTACTTTTATTGTTATTATTATTAATTAATCATGGCATCAAACCCGAACGCTTCCTCCTCCTCTAGAAAAGCCAAGTCAAAACGTAGGGAATCACCAAACCCAAACACTTCAATGCCTATGCCCCCCCTAACATGCCCTTTCCCTCCCCTAACATGCCCTTTCCAAACACTTCCACCCCTTCCTTTCATCCCCAAAACACGGGAGGGCAAGAACAAATGGATTATATGGCTCCTTAGACCCAATTTCAACAAAGCCAATTTCAACAACATGAATTTCCTTTTCCTCCTCCTTCCCAAGGTAGCCAAACACAAGCCTCCGGGTCGAGTGAACCATCCACCCAAATGCCCAACACCCAAAATCCTAACATATTAGAGTGGTGTGCCGAAGAGGATTTTGCTCAAACTAAAAGAAAGAGTGAAGTTTGGTCACATTATCAATTAAGTAAAAATGGACAAAAAGCCAAGTGTCGGACTTGTGGTAAAATTTCTCGGCCGATACCAAGGGAGGGACGGGACACCTTAGTAGACATTCAAAAAAATGTGGTGGACCATCTAGTGATCCAACCCAACCCAAAATTTCTCAATTCCATCCACAAGGCTTCATTTACAATTACGAGAGAGATAGGGATGAACTTGGGAGAATGATTGTACATGCCGAACAACCTTTTCTTTTCGCCGAAAATGATGCCTTCAACAACTATATTAACCGAGCACTACAACCAAAACACAAAAAAATCTCCCGAAAAACCGTTCGATCTGCTGCCATGAAGACTCATCTAGAGTACAAATTGAAAATAGTAAATGAATTAGCTAATCTTCCTAGTAGAGTTTCTTTAACCGCCGATGCATGGGATGGTGGATACGGACTCCACTATTTATGTGTTACTTGTCATTGGTTAGATAATGAGTGGTTGTTACAAAAACGCATCATTCATTTCAAAATGCTTGAATACCCTCGTACCGGTCTTGACATTTCATATCATTTAATGGAAGCCATTGATGCATATAGTCTTAGGGATAAAATCATGTCTATGACTTTCGATAATGCAACTTCTATGACATATAGTGCGAATTTGGTCAAATCCCAATTGACCAATGTTATATTAGATGGAGATGCACTTCATGTTAGATGCATTTGTCATGTTTTTAACTTGTGTGTGAAGGATGGAACACAAGCAATTGGTCCATTTTATCACAAAATAAGGAATGCTATTATGTCTATTAATAGCTCTAACATGAGATATCAAGAATGGAAAGGTTTTTGCAGGCAACAACGGATAAAAACCATAAAAATAGCACCGGATTGTCCAACTAGGTGGAACTCCACCTATGAAATGTTGAGTCGGGCAATCGAGTACAAGGTTCATTTAACACTTTTTTATAATATGAAATTTCCACAATGTGCTTTACTAGAAGATGATTGGGTTAATTGCAAAAAATATATGCAGTTTTTACAATTACTATATGGTATGACACATTGTTTTTCTTCTGTATATAATCCTTGTTCTCATTCTTTTCTTAGCAATGCATGTTTACTTGCACAACTTTTTGCGGAACACCGGTCACAACATGTTTATCGTGGATATCTTCCATCCATGGAGGAAAAATGGCGTAAATATTACACCGATATTCCTATGATTTATATTTTTGCTTCTATTTTAGATCCTAGGCAAAAATATGATTGCACCTTTTTATTAATTGATATTTATTATAGTAACATGAATTTTGAAGATGATGTTGAAACTTTTAAAAATAAGGTGACTAATCAGTTTTTTTCTTTATATTGTGTTTATGAAAGTAAATATGGAACCGTGTCTCGATTTACCCCTTCTCAAACATCCAAAAATGTAAGTAAATGGGCCAAAGGTTTATTTGCACAAGCTGCTAACATGATGTCCAAGTTTTTAGGTACGGAATCATCATCAAGTAAGAGAATACAAAGCGATGTTTCGGAGTTGCAAATGTACTTAAGTTACGACTTCATGAAAGGCATGGACGATGAAGAGAAGTTTGGCCTCGACATCCTCGATTGGTGGAAATCACAAACCGTGAAACATCCAATTTTGTCGGCAATGGCTCGTGATATTTTTGCTATCCAAGTCTCCTCCGTTGCCTCCGAAAGAGCTTTTAGTGCGTCGGGACGAGTTTTAGACGATAGAAGAACAAGACTAAAACCCGAAACACTTGAAATGTGTGTTTGCTTCAAGGATTGGTTGGATGCCGAAACTCGTTCTCAAGATCGTACTAATGCACAAAACGACGACGATGAAGGAACGTCGACTTCTTTTAGTTCTCATACTTCTCAATCAACTCAATTGGCGGATGGACTTAAACCTCTAGGAGACGAAGACGAAGATGAAGACGAAGGCGAAGACGACCAATAATAATTACATGATTACATGTTTACATTATACACTATTGTATTCTTTTTGTATTATCGAACTTCGTATTCCGTATAATAAATGAAGTTATTCAATATTCATACACTATTGTACGATTGTAGGGAATAATTTCAAGCCTTTAAAATCCCACTAGCTTGAACCCCACTGTGATCATACACTAAAGTACGGTGGCGTCCAAAAGGGAAGAAGATAGAGCAAAAGAGTTGCCAACAAGTTTTTAAGGAACTTGTAAACCGTTCACGAGGTGAAGGTTACACCTCTTAACAATCCAAGAGATCGTCAACTCCATAAGGTCATGAACCAAATAAGGGTTCGGGGATGAAGGTACAAATCCAACCTAAAAGAGATTGAACCTACCCTAATAATAGGCCTCTAATTTATTCTGCTTGTATTCATGTGCGCTTTCATACAATCAATAGGATTAACCCTAAACCTGTTTATCTATGTTAGTTGAATTTAATGCACAAATAAACTATTATTGGCGATCACTTGAATTATAATCACAATTAACCTAACAAGATTATTAATTATCTTATTAAGCGTGATTACAAGTGCCAATTCCCTTTAAACATGCATAAAAGGTGATCAAGCAATAAAGAATAAATATCAAGCAACATAATAATAATTAATATCATGAATAATAATTATAATAATCATAAAATAATAATCAAAACAATAATAATCATAAATAATAACAATTATAATAATTATCATGTTCATGTTAATATTAAAGCATAATAAAAAGAGCAAGATCCTAGGCATGATACTAACAAGATTAATAACAAACCCTAGCATGTCACTAAGCAATAAAAATCAAATCTTTAGCCCTAACATGATACTAACAATCATAAATATTAGGAAGAACATAGGAAGCATCGTAACAATCATATTTAATATTAAAATTTACCTAGACATGATACTAGGAACATCATAATAACAATATAAACATGATGTCTACATCATAATATCAATAAAAACCATTAAAGTACTTACTTTGATGCTTCGTACCTATTTCTAATAACAAAATACACACGTTAGTAACTTCAAGGAAAATAATAATCAAAGCAATTAATTAAATAAGTGGAAAAGAGATATTTGGGACCAAACCCTCAGAAATTAAACCTTTAACGTCTAGGACGAAGGCAACTTCGAATATGGCTAGGTGTTTCTAGATCTTGTGAATGCGGAATTTTGTATGAAAAAGTAAGAAAGAATTGAATGAATTAAAGAATGCTAAAGAATTAATGATTGAGGAGAGTTGGTGAATGATAGATGTAGATGATCCATGAAAACGGAGTTTTTGATGCGATACTTATAGAGAAAATCATCCAAAAAAAGATAATTTAACAAAACAGAGTCTGACGCTCAGGAAACAAGGTTGGCGCCAACCCTGGCTAGCTGGCGCCAGACACCAGTGGCTAGTGCCAGGCGCCAATGGCTAGCGCCTGGCACCAAGCCTGGTTCCAGGCGCCAAGGCCTGGGGTTGGACGCCAGTCTTTATTCTA